CTTTGAGATATCTTCGCGATCCTGCTCAACGATTCTATTCCTCAAATAACGTTCACCAAAGAAACGAAGGAAGTAGTAAAAAGATACTATCATTTTACTTCGTGGTGAGATTGCAAAGCCCTTGAGAAATCATCTTTGCCTTCGAGAATTAAATCTCTGGCGGGCGGGCAAAAGAATAAGTCAAATTTCAGTCAAAATAATATAGGTCATCGAAAGAATTATATACATAGTGACTCATTGTCGGAACAATGATATTAAATGAAATTATCCTTACAAGGAGATCTATAATAAATAATTTTCATTGAAATGAATATTTTTGCTGAGTAAATGCTATATTGTTTAATAAAAATTGAAAAGTCGAAAAATTGATTCTCTCTCCCGATTTATTTATGCTTTCCAATAAACGAATACATTTAACAACTTCCCCAGAAAATATATACTCTTAATTAATATTGTCAATGTTAGAAGCCATGAAAAATTATATTTTTGGAATTTTTCGATGTACTAGTAATGTCTATCAAGGTGATACAAAATATAAAATTAAACACCTTAGATTTTTCTAATATGATATAAATTGTTATAGTCACTTATGACTTCACGATACTACTTGAAAGTTGATACTACTTTCTCGACATTTTTGAAACATTCGAAAATATCTGCAAATAAACCTGGACCTGATGGACAATTAAAATACCTCAGATTTTTCTAATACAATACAAATTATTTTCTAATACAATACAAATTACAAGGAGGATATGAAATACGAAATAAAATTAAACACTAAATTTTTCTAATATAAATATAAATATAAATTATCATAATCATTTACAACTCTACGATATACTACTCGGATTCTTGATTTCCTTGAAATGTATCTGTTCGAAATATTTGCGAATGCCCGTAGATTTTCGCCACACTGACTCTGTATTCCTTTGCCCACCCTTTTGTCAGAGAGAATCCCGAAACCTTGAATCTCATGGAGCCAACCCCTGAACCCCTCGAAATTCATGGAGCCTGAGAAGTTGTCACTAAGCTCCACCACTGTATATCACAAACGCTATAATGTTCGTCGTAAAAACAAAAAGGGGGATGAACGTGAGCATCCACAGTCTGTTGACTCTTTCAGAATGACCCCCCTAACTAAATTGAGCGAGCTAGGGTCGCGTCGTAATAAGTGTGAAGCAAAAGACGCACGCGTGGGGCCACGTCGTGAAGCACCTCTTGAAAAGAACGAAAGGGTTGATGAACAGAACCTTTGTAGAAATATATATACACACATATATAAATACATATATATATATATATATATATATATATATAT